ATTTTAACTATTTGTAATTATTTTAATTAACTGGAACGTGGCTATCTTGGACAAAGTGAAGTTTTGTGTGTTGGTGATTTCTTTTTCTACTATAAATGCCTCTGATGATGGCTCCGTGGTGAGCCGAAACATGTAAGGCAGGTGCTGACGAGGTGGAAAACTTAAAAAAGTGTCACATTTGACGGAAGGAACTTGATTGTTAATTGGTTAGTGTGACGGACCAGAATGAAAGACCTTAAACTTAACTATATATTTTGACTCTTTCAAGCTTCAGTGAGCTACAGTTCCTGTGTATGTAAGTGACATTTGTAGGAGTAAATTATATTTATGTACACTGTGGCAACAGCCCTACACTTGATGGAACCACACTGGCACTTGTTAAACTTCATCAGGTGACAGTGAATGTCATAAAGTCCGAGGATGTGATAATGTGTCTGCTGGTCTGGGCTATCACACTTCAGAGGATGCAGGTGGATGAGTAGGAGTAAACTGAAGAAGCTTGGAGATAATCCTGCTCCAGAGCCACCCTGTGCACCATGATTTTCATTAATAACCACTAAGTGGATTTTTATGAAATTTAATATTGGAGAGTTTTAGTAAAATGTGTCAATACATCTCAGCTTCCGTTAAGTTCTGACAATAGTAATGGACACTTTACATGAAGTCCTACATTTGTTTCTACACATCTAAAGTGTAAGTCAGTAGATAATTGTTAGAACAAAAGCTTGTTTCGAACAGATGTTGTTGAGAATATGAAACACACACTTTCCCCATTAAGTCTCACAGACTTCAGGTAAACAAACTGAAGAAAGTTCCAGAGTTGTTGTGCTGTGCATGCATCTCAGGTAACTTGTATTTTTAACAAGTTCCTTGTAGAAGGGTGTTTTTTCAGATTCTTTTCTTCGCAACATCGTTTTCTGACATGTATGTTTTTATTGTTTTTGGAGTTCAGCACATTGAACAGACAGTGTAATTGTAATAAATATGATCTTATAAAAATTATATTGGAATGTACACGTAATGTGACAAACTGCATTCCTTGCAGTCTTTTCAGGTTATTTTTTTACTTGTTTCAAAGACATTAACTGTATTTGTGTAACCTCTCTATGTATGTAAAAAGTTTTTATAACAGTGAGTGAAAAATCTGAAATACATAATTTTGAGTTACTATGGCAGTGAATTGTTGATTATTGCATGAAGGTAAGTTATGTCGAATGTCATAAAATGAGTGAACAGTCTTTTGTCTGTAAAAGGAATAGCTTTCTCTGGAATCAAACAACCTGTAACAAATATGGTTCCTATTTTCTGTCTCCCATATTTAAGTAAACTGTATTCATATATGCCCTCTGTTAATTTTGAGCATATCTGGCAACAAAATAATATGATTGTTTGAGGTGTACATTTATGCTTGTTGCCATTATTTATCTTGATAATGGATCCTACTAGGAACCACTGAAGAAATGTATCTTCACAGAAGGTTTGTCTATACACATTTTAATTTGTCTGTTAAGAACTATGTTTACTAAGACCATGTTGACCATATCAGTGAAGATTGATATGGCTGATGTCATTTTCTGAGCATAAAATTGTTTTATTAATGCAATGTTTAGAATCAAGTACAGATGTTCTCTTTCCTGACATTTCCTTAGTTAGTGGTACAGTGATGCCCATAAATTGTTTTTAATAGGAATGATGTAATAGCCTAAATATACCTGAATCATGTCATCCTTTATTTTAAGAAACCTCTCTTTTCTGAATAATTCCATTGTTAATTGTATATTTCTCCTAAAAAGAAATGGCTTTCTCTGAAATCAAACAGCCTATGGAAAATAGGATTCCTTTGTTCATATTTTCAGTTTGCTAATGATTTCAATGGGCCCTTCTCTGGTGTGTTTGAGAAGTTTTTAACTGCCTTCACACTTCTCCTCTTTTAGTTCTAAGAGTGACACTGCTTCATTCATAAATGTTTAGTATGGAAATTGCATTTGTTTGGCATAAATCATGTGTCCCTGCACATATGAGTGTCAGCATTGTCATCATCACAGACTGTGTTATGATCTGTTCCAGAATTAATACATTTCCTTACATTTTTATCTTAGATGTCTCTAGCACCTTCTATGCTTTAGTTTATGCTCATAGAATGCCTTCAGTTTGGGTCTAGAGGCTTCTTTCCCCCCCCCCAAATATTCTAGCCAATTCTTTTGATATTGTTTTGTGTATATTCAATTCATCTAAGAAGAAGGGGTTTCTACATTGTTTGTCATTGTGTCTTGTCATTTGCATTGAAATCAAGTGAGAAACTAATCTCAGTCGTTTATAACGAAACAGGAAATGACAGCAATAAATGGAAGTGTTTCAATTGGTATTGCAGTGTTGAGGTAGCTGTAGACCATTATGATTATAATGCTCATTCTCTCAACTTGTCTCTTCAGAATTCTTCAAGTTCATAGCTTGTATATTCAGTGAAGTCACGAGAGCATAGTGCTCCTGAAGGGCTGCAATGTATAAGCACAGATCTCTGGAAAGCTTAACTGTGGAATTTTCCTCTAGAATATTTTACTTGCATTTCTCTGGTTGTTATTTCCACTTCTTCTGTGATCTCTTCATTATGTTTCTGACCCATCATACTGTATCCTGCGACAGCTGCAAGGAAACATCCAGCATTTGGATCCATATAAATGCATAGGTATGGCTGTTAGTGTACTGAATTTAATAAGGTTTGGTTAAGATATGTCCTTATTAATGTGTGTTGTTTAGTTCCACAGACCTGTTGAAATGTTACTATGCAACTTTGATACACTAGTGTATAGGACGCTTTGTCGTGCGTCAGTTCACAATATATCAGTTCAAAAATATGAAACAGATGAAATTTTGTACAACTGAGCATTTAGAAGTAATTATTTGTATTGGATTACTTTTATATTTTAATTCTGTGCTAAGTGCCACATTAATAGTAAATAATATGACTTCTGTTTGGTTTAATGAGTTAAGCATCCATTTCTTTTATTTTATATAACACCATTTGCTTTATATACATAATTTCACACTGAGTTTCCCATATATTTAAATTTTCACAAGGAGATTTATGCCCCTGAATTTTTGACAGGTCTTTTTCACATTTTTACAGTTTATAATTTCAATATAACTGACTTGAAAAATTACATTACAGTTCAGGCTTGTTACACATATATGACTTGACTGATTTAAATTAGGCATATGCAGGAATATCTTTTTCAGTTCAAGGTGAGACTGAGACAAGAAATTTTAACAATTTCGAGAACTGAAAAGAGAACTATAATTTTCTCTTATATACCAATTTTTCCAATGTAATCATAATTTATAACACCAGCCGCCTTTTAACCATGCTCAAGAGTGTAGTACTTATCAATTTGAGATTTGTATGTACCTAATTTAAATTACTGTATTTGGGTGGAATGTTATTAATTGTATAATGAAAATTAAGCATGGAAAATTCATTCCAGAATTATTCTGGAAATATAATTAATTGATGTTACATAGAGAGTCATTGACCCCAATACAGTAAATTAGGATGTGGTCTTCCTTTCTGATAATTCCAATTTTTGTTGATGTAACAACACATTCAAGACAGACTGATTGTTAGAATCAGCTTTCTTGAGTTCATGGATTTGATATAATGCATTAGGATTCTTAGTTCATCCTCATTTCATTTGCATTTCTTTCTATTGCCTTACTTTAAGATAAATCTGTATAGTGACTTCTAACACTGCCGTAATAGTAGGAAATACAGTACATGACGGATCTGAATATTTAGTGTTTTTAATGACTGAATTTGCATTTTCTTTGATACATTAATATTGTTCAGTGTCAATTTATGAAACAGTATCTACACAACAGTTATTGTTCAGTTGATGTGACTAATTTCTTTTATTTTATTTCTTTCTGTTTTTTCTCTCTCTCTGCAGATATTGAAATGAAATTTCACTGTATGTAACCTTAATATCTGTAATAGGGCCAGTCATTATGTAAGGTACCTACACTGTACACATCTGAGGTCAAAGTGAAAAGTACTACCTGCTAGAAGGTTGTGCTGTGCAGGACAGTAAGGGGATAGGTACTGAGGTTGTCACACCCTTGACTGTGAAGAGTACTATCGTCTGGGATATTATGCTGTCGAATTAGGTATAAGTTCATTGATGATTCAGGGAAACAGTGCCCTAATTAGTAGCTTCATGGTGGTTCCTTGCTTGGCTTATTCTTTGACCCTGAAGATAGAGGTGACATATTTCTCCGAAATGACCATTGACTTTCAGTGGACTACACACAGCATTGTGTCCCACCTTTTGAGGTTTTCATTACAGTGAAGATATAGATGAATCTATATATATTATATAGATGAAACTACACAGTCTGTAGGTGGTTATGTATCCTAATAATCCAATTTATGTGTTCATATTTCATCAGGATACTGCTGTCCTGTAAATAGATCCTATGATCTAGGCTCATGTTGTATCCTGCTACATCTAATTTATTTCAGTGATAAAGATGGATATCAGCCTCGTATCCAGTGGGTAATGGCAATTTTCCCGGGGGTAAAGCAGTCGGGATGTAAAGCTGACCACTCGCCTCCATGTAGTGCCAAGGTCAAAAATGGAGGAGCTATACCTCCATTCACCTACATGTCTTCGTGGTGTAGTGCTTAGTTAATTAAGCACAGGGACAACCCTTTAAAGACTGATATGCTGATGGTACCCTTTCACATGGTTTCAATAGAACGTTCGGCCGGTCCAGTTATCCTTCACTGGCCTGAAGAAACTGGATACATTTCTTGGCAGGAAATCCACTTTCCTACACTTGTGATAGGATATTACTCTTAATATTGTTTTAGGTGGTACTGACAAAGGATTAAAATGTTACTGAAGTTTTGCTCATCTCCCAATCCTTATGAATTGTCAGCCCAAATAGTGTTATTTACTTTAACAATTCTGTCTTCAGGCTCATTGCATAAATTCCAATTCTGATTGGAGACTGTCATAATCACAGTTAAGTTCGGCTCTGTGTGTCTTAACCCATTGTTCGCTACAAGCTGATTATTTTGACATGGCATAAGGTAAAGGGTAAAGTTGTCCCTGTTCTTAATTAAGCACTATTCAGGAAAGACATTTGGGGAAGTGGAGGTATAGCTCCACCATTCTTGACTTCAGCACTAGGTGGAGGTGAGTGGTCAGTTTCATGCCTGACAGCTTTACCCCCAGGACAAGAGATCCCAGTACCCTTTAGATAGGAGGCTTTGTGAACCTCTGAGCTGATCTGTACATTGTGAGGCAATAGGAAACTATTGCTTTTGCTAGAATTGAATCCTGCTCATCAAGCCTGTAGCCCTTCCCTACACTGACTGAGCTGTGGCTTGGCATACTTCCATTAAAACTGCCACAGCCAAAGAGAACAACCTCTTAGAGTCAGATGTAGGTCACCATGTAAGTATAACAAGATATACACTTAGTGTGTGTTTACATCTGACTAATATATTGTTAGTATGTTGGAGAAATTAACTCCATCAAAAGATCAGCTTTTTCTTAATCACTACAGACTTTCATATCACCTGTACCTGTGGTTATTTGAAGGCCATTTTAGGAAGTATTCTGGGTTTATATATGCAGCTGCATTTGTGCCCAAGCAGTCTTGTCATTTCTAGCAGGTAGTATGGTGAAGGTTGGGAGTCAGAGGGTTAAGGTCGAAAGCACAGCCCACTAGTACTCTGTGACACAAGGAACCATGTCATGCCTACTATATACTATGTATATCAGTATCCAGGAAGGACAGGTTTCCATCTCTTATGGTAAATTCATAACCACATACCAAAATACAGTGTTATAACATGGAAGACCACCACAGCCATACCCGTTTACACATTGACTCTGCAGTCCTCTAAGAACCTTGGCATCCTTTGCAACGCATGTCAATTCTTCATTTAGTTACTTAATGTCAGTATTGTTTTATGAATTCAGGATGTTAGCCTCACACCCAAACCCCAACTTAAAGGACTGCAGGTTATCTTCTGCTTTGCTCCTATCCCTTTGACCTACCTACCATGGGTGACTCTCCCTACTAGGAGCATATTTTACTGCACTCCACTTTTGTAGATCCCTTCTGCTGGGTGTGGTTTTAATCAACACATGATGGCCAGATTCCAAAATAATGGATTTAAGCAAAGTAATGCATTGAAGGTCTCAGTTGTAAACATCCTGTAGTTTCAAAGAAGTCCACTGACATGTTGGAAGATCATATCACTTCCATCTTCACTGTAGAGAAGGACAAGCAAGAAACTGCCTATTGCTAGTTGCTTGGCTTACGCTTCAAACTTGAAGGTGGAGGCAGTATGTTCCTCTGAAACAGTGGTGGACTTAAACCAAAGTAGATGGTGTTATGACCCTGATGATAGTACCCTTCAGTGTCACCACTGCAAGAACCTCACATCCAGCAATGTAAGACAGGATTCACTGGCTGCTGGAAAAATTCAAAATACTTTTTGACTGTACCATAAACTTCAGTGCATTATGTCTTAGAGGCCTTTTAATATTTTTTTTTTTAATTTTTTAAAAATGTTTTTAGAAAAATGTGTAAATGTGTAACACCATTACAAAATTAGATATTAATATATACAGAGTATTACATTGTACTGTAAATGTGTATAATGTGTATTAACATTATCAATCAATCAGATCATCCTGTTAATTTAACTGTATTTATTTCTGCCATTTAATGGACAGAAGCATGGATGTTATTGATTGCATTTTATTAAATACTATTCACATACTAAAAAAATCTTTACATAATTTGTTACTGTTTGTAAATAATGAATGGTGTAATAAATCAAGTGACTGTCCTTCATAAGTAGCAACTTGTCAGTAACTCGAATCATTTTTCAATCACACATGTTGTCAGTTCCCATTGTAAGTATTAATTTCATTGTCATTCTGTAAAATTCTGAGCAGCATCCTCAACATTTAATATTGGCATCAGACAAACAGTGGTGCATAAAAACAGTGCACTGAATGAGAAGAACTGAGTTCCATCTTCAGTCAGACTCTTTTAGATCTTCACCTCTGTGGAAGGTAACTTTGGGAAGTCATATTTAAGATAAACATATTACAATAATATTATTTCTGAGAAAATTAAGAGTAAGGATTTTCCCAATGAAAGTAATGGAGCATGTGTATAATATAACTGTACTGTACACACGTGGTGCATTTACATGAGGTACACATACCCACTGTCATGTATTAACCCTCTATGTTTGAGTTTCCCACAAGTGTATGATGGGGGAGGGGGGGGGAGAATGTTGAAGATAATAATCAGTAACTTTTCAATGATGATGTAATGCTATGCGTCACCTACTTGCCATGATGTACTGTGGTTGCTGTTTTGGCACAATCTTATAATTAGATGTGTTTCATAGTGACCAGATCTGAACAGTTGGAATGGAACAACAATAGATGAGACATAGATGAGCAAATGAAGTTGAATGATGTGACAGAATTGCAGTGACTCCTAGCTAGCAAAGTGCTAGTGATGTGGGTTGAATCCTTGTTATGAGAATGCAAAATTTGTTGAAGGCTTCATAATTCTGGAATTTTTGTATAAGCAGAAGTATTTCATACAAA